TCTGTAGAATGTTTTGTCTTAACCTAAACTACACAGATGTATGTGTTAAAAAAGGGTTAATAATCTGTAGAATGTTTCATCTCAAACTAAACTACACAGATGTATGTGTTAAAAAAAGGGTTAATAATCTGTAGAATGTTTCATCTCAAACTAAACTACACAGATGTATGTGTTAAAACAAGGGTTAATAATCTGTAAAATGTTTCATCTCAAACTAAACTACACAGATGTATGTGTTAAAACAAGGGTTAATAATCTGTAGAATGTTTTGTCTTAAACTAAACTACACAGATGTATGTGTTAAAACAAGGGTTAATAATCTGTAGAATGTTTTGTCTTAAACTAAACTACACAGATGTATGTGTTAAAACAAGGGTTAATAATCTGTAGAATGTTTTGTCTTAAACTAAACTATACAGTTGTATGTGTTAAAACAAGGGTTAATAATCTGTAGAATGTTTTGTCTTAACCTAAACTACACAGAGGTATGTGTTAAAACAAGGGTTAATAATCTGTAAATGTTTTGTCTTAACCTAAACTACACAGATATATGTGTTAAAACAAGGGTTAATAATCTGTAGAATGTTTTGTCTTAACCTAAACTACACAGATGTATGTGTTAAAACAAGGGTTAATAATCTGTAGAATGTTTTGTCTAAACCAAAACTACACAGATGTATGTGTTAAAACAAGGGTTAATAATCTGTAGAATGTTTTGTCTAAACCAAAACTACACAGATGTATGTGTTAAAATTGCAGTCGTCTTGTAGAACATAACAGATAAAACGGTAATTACCTTACCTGATCTTCATCAATATAGATAAAACGGTAACCACACTTACTTGAACATCATTAATATAGATAAAACGGTAATCACACTTACCTGATCTTCATCAATATAGTTAAAACGGTAATCACACTAACCTGAACATCATTAATATAGATAAAACGGTAATCACACTTACTTGAACATCATTAATATAGATAAAACGGTAATCACACTTACTTGAACATCATTAATATAGATAAAACGGTAATCACACTTACTTGAACATCATTAATATAGATAAAACGGTAACCACACTTACTGGAACATCATTAATATAGATAAAACGGTAACCACACTTAACTGAACATCATTGATATAGATAAAACGGTAATCACACTTACTTGAACATCATTAATATAGATAAAACGGTAACCACACTTA